TGGTAGTGCTTGCAAAGTCGCCTTTACATACCCATGACCCGAGGTAAACTCAGTCATAGTATTAACATATAAATACTGATTTAGTTGAGTCCAAATAGCTGTGAATGTAGCTGCTATGGAGGGAGGAACCAGTGGTGTAACCGGATCTGCAGAGCTGTGAGGCTGCTGCAAGTCCTTGGCAGAACTTCAGCAAAGGTCCATCATTCCTGTGGATGACTGTGAAACATGATGATGTAGTAAAGTACGCTGATGTTCAGCTCCTTGTCCTCAGGTCCCGTGCATCTAGCAGCTTTTTTGGTTTTTGATTGGGAATTATTCCTAGTTGTGGTTGTTTTGGCAGTTACAATAATGTCTTGAATCCATGTGTTCCTAATGAGCCTTACCAAATAAGATGCTTATTAACTGCCCAAAGCAGCTCGCAAAATAGTCCAAAAATAGCACAGTGACTGGTTACTCTATCACTTTGCTGCAGATCTGATTAAGGTAGTGCAGAGTGCCTAAATTTTGCCACATGAGCAGTGTATTAAGTCTTCCAGGAATGCTAACATGAAATCTGTATGGTTTAGTTGGTTGGCTCGTTTTTTTCAACAAGATTTATTTTTTGTTTAAAAAGTAAAATTTGTTTGATATATTTGGGGTAGTTTGATTTTTTTAAATTTTTAAAAAATTCTTATTAATATGTGATCATCGCAGGTTACTTCCATTCACAGGAGACAGCTGGTTGATGAGGTGATTCCTTAGTCTGCTAGTGATAAGTTATCCAACTGTTCATCCTCTCTAGCCTTGTCTTGGTGTGTGAGAAACTGCATTGGTTTACAGAAGAGTCAGACGTTTTGACTTGAAAGTGCGCTGAAACTTTTCTGGGAGACTGGCAATGGTACAGCTATTTTAACATTTTGCGTATGGATTTTCAGTATTTTCACACTCAAGTTGTATTGTGGGTATGCTATTAAGCTCTTGCTAAAAACCAAAACTAAAAATTGATGCTCAGCATGTGTAGAAATAATGAAAGCAGCTGCTTGCCTTGCTGTGATGTAAAACTAAGATGAAAATACTGTATAGGAAGTAGGATTTTTGTGTGAGACTTTAAATGTTGCAAGGTCTCTGGAAGTACAGTTGCAAACCTAAAGAAGAGCTGAAAGGCAGTAAGAGTTGAAAAGAATGATGAAAAGAACAGGCTGCACCAATACAACCCAGCTTGTACCCTGAGTAAAAGCTGTACCTGTAATTCAATTTAAGTAATGTTTGCATAATCAATGTTAAAAAGACTTTTTCAAAGGTTCCTGTAAGCAAAATGTACTTCCTGTTGGGGAGAGAGTTGTTCCTTGCAAGTTTATGAGTGTTTGTGAATGGTGAATTAACACTGATTTAGGTTCAAGGTGTATTGTTATAGGTAAGGTCCTGTAAATATATACAGATGATCTTGGAGTGGCAGCAGTTGGGGAGAAAATTGTCCATATCTTTACCAAAGTGTCAAAAAATGAAGTTTTAAAACTTGCAGTGGGACAGCTTCTGGAAGGCTGATGCAAGGCTGATGTGCCTTGATGTGTGGAGGAAAAGAAGGTTATCAGGAGTAGTCAACGTGGATTCACCAAGGGGAAATCACTTTTGACCAATATGATAGCTTTCTACGATGGCAAGAGTGGCTGGGTAGATGGGGGGGGCAGTGGGTGTTGTCTGTCTCGACTTCAGCAAGGCTTTTGAAACTGTCTCCCATAACATCCTCCTAGGGAAGCTCAGGAAGTGTGGGCTGGATGAGTGGTCAGTGAGGTGGATTGAGAACTGGCTGAATGGCAGAGCTCAGTGTTGTCATCAGCAGTGCAGAGTCTAGTTGGAGGCCTGCAACTAGTGGTGTCCCCCAGGGGTCGGTACTCGGCCCAGTCTTACTCAACTTCTTCATCAATGACCTGGATGAAGAGACAGCGTGTACCCTCAGCAAGTTTGCTGATGACACAAAACTGGGACGAGTGGTGGATGTACCAGAAGGCTGTTCTGCCATTCAACGAGACCTGGATAGGCTGGAGAGTTGGGTGCAGAGGAACCTGATGAAGTTCAACAAGGGCAAGTGCAGGGTCCTGCACCTGGAGAGGAACAACCCAATGCACCAGTACAGGCTCGGGGCTGACCTGCTGGAAAGCAGCTCTGTGGAGAGAGACATGGGTGTCCTGGTGGACAACAAGTTGACCACGAGGCAGCAGTGTGCGCTTGTTGCCAAGAAGGCCAGTGGTCTCCTGGTGGTGCATTACGAAGAGTGTGGCCCGCCGGTCAA